TGATCCAAGTGGTCACACACCCGCACACTGACAGCAGCCAGTGATGCTTGACTTCGGTGATCTGCTGGGAACCGTGTCTTAACGATCAGTCCACTACGGGACAATAATAGTCTGAAAACTTTTGAATCGTAAGGCATTTTTTTTGTATCATTTTAAAGTATCTAATTCCACATGGAGAATACAAAATTTGAGCGAAATTGGTTGATTAGTTCTTAAGAATTTGAGTTTTATAAGTACGACTTTTTTAAAATATAATTTCTCAGGATTAATCGATTTCGCTGAAATTTTGTATTTTGCCATGTGGAAAACTTACAATGTTTTGTTATCCAATTTATATGCGAACAAATAACTTGTTTTCATAAACATATTCGCTAACATAATACATAAATAGCGAAAATGACGATTAGAGATGGAGTACTGAAAGTTTTTGAAAGGGCCTCTCCGCCAAAAAATTTTGCCCCAGGGCCCCGAGGGGTGAAGTTACGGCACTGGCTCTCTACCTATGGCAACACTTCGCATGCTTTCATTATTAGCGTGTGGGGAGTCATAGGAGAAGGAAGTACGTTAGTTTCTGTCTTGATTTTTAAATAGATAAAAAAAAAAATTATTTAGAAAATTATTTAAAACTATATTGAACATAGTTCTAAAAGAAAGCGTCGTAGAAATTTTAAAAAATATTTTCGGCAATTACATTTGAAAAATATAAAGAGGAAAAATCGTAGTACATTCCTTTACAATTGAGAAGATGAAAAGGGAGAGGGTCAAGACATGGAACTGGTCTTCACATATAATTCTCAAAGATATTGTATTAACACTATCTTTGCTGGAAAATACCGGATTTGTATTTTGGTAGAAAATACTAAACTGAAATTTAATACCGGGAAAATATTTTCTGAAACTACGGAAATCCGTAGTAGAATTCTTATTAAAACTGCTCCAATTACCATAATACCAGTAGTAGGGATTACCAAAATTAATTAAGAGTCATCTGAGCATGGCGATTTTCTACGAATTCCCTAAATTTAATAAGTATCCGTTAACTTTGCATTTTAGTACATAGCCCCTTTTTTTTTAAATTTCAATTAATACATATTACCAACATTAATTGGTGTCAATAATAACGCGGCGATGTTTTACGGTTCTTCAAAACAAACATCTTTCCTCCAACTTTCCTTTTTAGTACATAAGTTATTTTTTATTCCAATTAATCATATTACTAATATTAATTAAGCATCAATAATATTTTTGGCACCCTTGCACGAATTCTTGAGCCAGAAGTGGAGTAAAATATTAGAAGGCAATTTGCAGCCCATAGAAGAAAATTGGAGACATGTTTGCAACTTTGCATGAAAGATAATCACTCAGTAATTTCCTGCAAATATTTCATTGGTTGTGATGTTTTCATGTATATTTGTAAGTTTTGCTGCGATAATCCAATAAGCATTGAAATTAAAGCGTATAAGTAATATTTTATTATCATGCCATATAAAACAGTAAAATGCTTTTAGTAATTGTTCATTTTTGAAGGAAGGCGTTTTCTAATCTTATAATGGCTTTATAATAAAACATATTTTTTCCGATGCGATGCTTCGAAATTCCTAGTAAAAACTTTTTTAATAAATATGGGTCATTAGTCGAAAGCGTATTTTATGTTTAGGAAAAATAACCTAGTATAGAAATTGAAAATGCTTGAAACGTGTATAGTAAAATTCGATTTTTATTGAAAATGTATCTTCAGATAGAAAGAAAAGAAAAACATTTGCGCAAAAATTTCTTTTTATTTAAGGGAATGTTTATAGTTCTGGCAAAAATCAGGAAATATTATTGTTTTTCAGGAATTCAAATTTGGCACGAACATTCGAAGTATTTCCAAAAAAATAATACAAAAATTGGAATCTACTCTCTTCTGCACAAAAGTTGAGTTCTGAATCTAATTATTTCTGCCCCTGTTTCAAAACGCAAGTTATAAACATCATGAACTTGTTTAGCAATTGAGTAAGTCCCGTGGAACGAATCTACGTACTTTTGCTTGAAATCCTGTATTTCTTTTTCAGATTGGAAGGCCCATGCAAGAAATACATCCACTGCTTGAACATCACCCATACTTCTCCATTCCATACAAATGCCCAATTGTGTATAACTGAAGGCTATTCCTTCTTTGAATGATTGCAGATCCATGTTTGGAGGCAATAATGCTTTAAACAAAATGTCAAGCAATGACAGGTCATTCTTGTTATAAACGTAGTTGTAGAAATCACCACTTCGGGTTACAGAAGAAGTTATCCATTTCTTCTTTGTGGTGGATGCATCCTTTACCAACCTGAGGGCATTATACGGGTCACCAATTTTAAGGAATTTCAATATCACTCTTACAAGCGAGGAAACAATTGGAAACTTTTGATTGAGATATAAAACGTTCTCTTCTAAAAATATACACTTCAACTTCGGCGGAGTAGAACTCCAGATTTCACTGAATATTTTCCGTGTAGATTTTTCCGTTTCCATTTCCTCTATAATGTCTCTGAGTACGCTTAAATACTCGTCTCCATTCATGTGATCCATAAAAAGCACTGTTGTAGATACAAAAAATTTCTGAAACGGCCAACTTCTGAAGAGTGGATTCAATACTTTGTACACATTATTTCGCAAATATTTTTTTTGCATGTCCTGGTCTCTTACTTGAAACAACAAAAAATAAAAATTTTCCGTGTATGAATTATAGTCTAGGTAATTGTATTTCAAAGGTGCCCAATATGATTTGTTACATTTTTCACCTGCCATTTTAAGCCACATGTAAATCCTCGCGTTCTTCTCCTCTTCTGTCAACTTACGCCAAAAATATTTGAGAGCGAATGGATTACCAACAAATATTGACCACGAAATCATATTTTCATTAAGGTTAAAGTACCGGTGGTATATATTGCCCGAATTCATCTCAAACATTTCCAACAGTCCAGACAACTCGTTGGTCGCAATAAAAGTCCAGTAAGCAATTAAATCATTTTCATACTCGCTGTCTATGAAGATAGACTCAATTTCTTTTTGGCTTTTAGAAGACAGCATTTCCCATAAATCAAAAATATATTCTTCTAAGCAGTACTTGCACGCTAAACAATACAAGCAGCAGAAAGGTTTATTCGGATAATCATTTGTAATAAGTTCTTCAAGCGTTTTGACCTTATCAATTGTCCCATCCATGGTCCAATGAATTCTACCATTCATTATACGAAGATCCCGAAGTGAGCAGTATTCTTGATTTTTGTCATCAAACCATTTCAACAATTGCTGTCCTATAGGTCGAATGTGTTTTGAGATTTCGGATTGGAATAAATGAGGAATTGAACTTTTGTTCAATTTATCTAACACTCTTTCCTCTAACTTGCTATAACCATAGCCCTGAAGAAGTATCTCCATCACGTCCTCTTCTGTCCATAGCCTGATGGTAATGTGCACGACAGCGATGCTTTGCAAAGTAGGAGGTCCAGATATAAAGTTCAAACCTTCACTTTGAATTGAATCGGTCCCCACCATCTTGGATAACAAAATACTACCTTTTTCGCTTTCGTTATCATCACCTGCAAGATAAAATTTAGACATAAGTTGAGTATATTACCAGTTTTTGATAAGGGAACGCTCTGCCGTGTTTAGGGATAATTTTGTTAAACATTCCATACTTCATGTAAAATACTTAATTCCTCACTGTTGCTAGAAAACAGAGGTAAGTTTGATAAAATTCTGTGAAAAAAAATTTTTTCGTATTGCCAAGCTTTCTTCTATAGTTTCGTAAATAACTTACTTCTCTGAAAAGAAATTGATCCTAAACAACGTAGAGTGTTCCCTTGTCAGAGCTTTACAACTGTGGATATATTAAATGAAAGAAGAGTAATTATTTTTTAAACCTGTTTTGGGGGTGTTTCATACTATGGAGTAGGATCACTCGTTCCAGTTAAAAGAATCGTGAACAACAGCGATCAACGCAAGGAAATAATAATAGAGAGAATGACAGTTTTTGATAAAGGAACGCGAGAATGCCACAATTAAAAACGCAAATCAAATGGCGGGCCGCAACTTTATCAAAATTTTATGAAGGACTCTTACATATTTGAAGGAACATTAAATATTACTGTCAGATTTTACCAAGTTGTACAAAACAAAAGTATTGAATTACAAATAAAAATAAGAAGTAGATTTTTAAAAATATTTAATTGCATATTAAAAAATTCGGGCTACAATAACTTTAATGTGCGCTTATGTATTAAACAATTAATGAGCAACAGATATCTGATTGTTAAGATATAAAACTTTCAAAAGGTTGGCATTAAAACTTGCATATTAGCACACAAAATGTTCCATGAAAAAAATTGAGGTTTGTCTGCTTCAACCACCAGAAAATAAATATTTACATTTAAAATTTACAAATGTTTGTGTAAATATTTTTGTTCAAAATGAGTGGTTTCAAAAAGTTAAATAGGAGAATTTCTTGGAGAAAATTTCTGATACACACATGCTAAATTATATTCACAAAATATCAACAAAAAAAAAATTTAAATAAAAAAGAGCAACATACACGATTATTTTTGTATTTGAATAAACCATTTCTTGGATGCAAAAGCTGAGAAATAATTTTTTTTGCACCTTTTAGTATGTTAAATTTTACCGAAACAAGGAAATCAGGTTTTTATTAACGTGAAAAGTATTTGAAACCCATACAGATTTTTTACGAAAATTGTCCTCAAAAAAATGACAACTAATATATTTTTGTTCGCGGGCCACAAAAAAAGGCTTCGAGGGCCGGATGATTCCCCCCGGGCCGCCAGTTGGAAACCACTGGTATAGAATGACTAGGCATTGTATAGAATGCCTAAAATTAGTCGGCAAAGTAGGAAATGATTTATATTTCACACATTGCCTAGGCATTCTATAGAATGCCAAATGAGAAACCGGCAAAGTATAAAATACATCTCTGATTCGTCAAAATGTCATTCAAAAATGACAAATTCAAAACGTCATCCGATTTGTTATTAATTTATTCGTGGATATAATACTTTAATTGCTTTCCACTTCTCATTAAACTCCTTTTTTTCCTCCTATTTTTTGTTTATTTCCACGCTTTATTTGTATTTTTATCTTATAACTTAATCATGATAATGCAACTTGTTTCAAGCAAAGAATTCTATGTTCAATTTTATTATCCAGCATAAACACATTCAATATAGTATTGCTCATTTAGTTCTTTTAATTAATTTGAAACTATAATTAATTAAACTCTATTTTAAAAAAAGTTATTAAATATATTTTCTAAATTTAAATAAATATTACTGTTGTATACCCCCAAAAAATTATAATACTTATATAATTATTAGTTGAATTGCATAGAGAATTAAGAAAACAAAAATTAATTCTCATTTCAACTGTTAATTAATGAATGGTCCCTAACAAATTTTTACTGAAATATGTAATTTGGTTTATTTTTTAATCAAAAATGTATTTTTAACACTTTTGAAATGAAAATACAGTGAGTAATACAGTTAAGAATTTTTGTTGGAAGTAAATTATAATATGATCCCTATGTTCATTATGTTTAACAAATCTAAGATTAGTATTGAATTGTTAATTTCAATTGCTTTTAAATCAACTTATAAAAAGATGTATTTTTTTAAATAACAAATCTGAATAATAAATTTTTTTTTACCGCATCTGTAATGAAAGATTTAGGAAATTGCAAATAGTGTAAAAATAAGTACTATACTAGAGAAATTTTGCGTTACGTTAAGGGTAACACTAACCTTATTTTCAGCTCCTCAGCCATAGAAAAAAGGAAAATAAAGAAAAAAAACTTTTGGTAATGCAATAAAATCAGCACACACAACTTTTGGGAAACAGCATTAAGGTTTAGCCACAATACAAAAGCTGTATTTAAAGATATGTTATATTTTTTTTATGTACATTTTCGCGCTGTTTCATTTTTTCTAGCTAAGTTATCCCAAGGAAGTTAAATAGTATACATTTGTCTGTTTCTAAATGCTTGATAATTGTTTTTGTGCATTTAATATTAAAAGAATAATCAAATTTAGTTTTTATCCATTTAAACTGTAACAAATTTTAAAAGTATAAGAACTGACAAACAGTTTTAAATTACAGATTCAAAACAATTTCTATTGCTTTAAAGTTTCAAGGAAAATTTCATAGTAGTAATTTCTACGTTTTTTTTCTTCTTTTTTTTATAGCTATATATATTGTGTTAGGGGAATAATAGTATATCATCAAAAGACTGCAAACTACAGAAAACATTAAGAAAAAAATATCAAAAATTTAACCTAAAATCAGCATGGGTGGATATAAAGAGAAATAGGACACATATCTAAAACCTCCTAAAAATAGTTATGTTGCAATAAAATAAGTTATAAATAGTTACCAATCATTCAAGTTTCATATTAGAATAGTGTGATTAAGGACTCAAGAAATTTTTAAAATATTTCTTAAAAAACCCTAAAAAGCAAGTTTTTTTACAATCAAAATTTTTCAAATCCTATTTGAAAGACTTTATGAAATAAAAGCCGAAAATAAGCATGAGGACTTTTCAAAAATGTTACACAATATGTTTTTGCAGAACCTATCCTATAAATTTTTACTATTTCTGCAGAATTTGCACACAAAATTTAAAACATGAATCAGTTCTTACATTTTTAACAACCTCTATTTTCCTTATTAATTTTCAATCAAATGATTAATTTTTTATTATGGAAATCAAACAGCGCAAACTACGTTTTTTTTTAAAATTTATTTCATTATTTTTTTTTTCAAATATTACTATTACTATTATGTAGGTAGATCAAATATAAATCAGATTTTTTTTTAATTGCAGTGGACCATTTTTATTCTTGCCCTGATAGCAACACTATAACTTTATCTAGAGTCTAAATAATTGCTTGGCAGTGTTTATTTCTTTGTAAGTTCTTTTTTTTTTTTTAGTAGCTTGAATAATAAGTAAGAGTAACATTCCTAACACAGTTGCACAACACATAATAATTAAATTTTTAACAAGCAAAAATGTCAAACCTACTGACATTTTGCACAAATTACAAGCACAATTTGGAAACAATACCCTGTTGAGGGCTCAAGTATGTAAATGGCACAAGTTATTAAAACAAGGCCAGGACGAAGCTGAAAACTTGTCCCGTGTTTGTTGATCTACGAAGAGTCTTATGACAGCGAAAATTTATCAAGTTGGTGACTTTATTTATAATTACCAACGAATTAAATTTAGAGAAGTTAGTACCATAACAGAAATGAGTTAAGGAGGTGTGCAAAGTCTAATTCATGACGAGTTGAAATATCGAAAAATCTCAGTGAGGTGGGTGCCTAGAATTTTGAATACTAATCTAAAGGATGCGACGCCCGGTGGCTGAGCGGTAGCGCTTCGCGCTGTCCTGCCACAGGTCCCTGGTTCGATCCTCGGGCTGGGCAAGGTTGACTCAGCCTTTCATCCCTTCAGTGGTTCGATAAATGAGTACCAAGCATGCTTGGGAACTAAACACTGGGGGTTCCGCGTTCGGCTGACCACCTGACCGAAACATCTGCTCCTGCACCCCAGAGCCCAAGGTCAAGAAAACTGAGATGGACACAGTAGGCCTTGGCCCTCTATGGGCTGTCGCGCCGCTGAGTTTAGTTTAGTAATCTAAAGGATGTAAGATATGACATTTCCCAAAGATTATTGAGTCACTATGAATCAGAAGAAGACTCATTTTTGATTTGAATCTTAACTTGTGACGATTCTTAGATACACCCCTGAAACAAAGTGTACCTGTATTTCCATACATGGGGTAGGAAAAATGAATCTGCTCTATTTGAAGCAAAATCTCAGTTATCTACTGGTTAAGTAAGTACGGGTATTTTTTAGAACTCTTAAGGTGTTGCATAGGTTGATTTCTTTCCTGAACGACAAAATTTAATGGAACTTATTGTGAACTGTTAGAGAAAGTCAAAGAGATGTGACATGCCGATTCACAGAGTTCTCTAGCACCAAACAAATTAAATTACAATAAAAAGTTTAAATTATTACTGAGAAAGATTGGAGCAATCTACTTTAAATGCACCAAAGAAATTCTCAATTTCTAAAATGTATATTTTATATAAATTTTTATTTTGATGAAAAAGTGACAAAAATACTGTCGGGGCAGCATTGTAAAATATTTTGTAATAAAATAGAAAGTTTGTTTACAAAACATTTGAATTCTACACAAAATTGTTAATTTATAACAAAAAGAGAAGTAAAGGACATCGTCACTCTTCTCTTAAGGTAAAAATAAATTTAACTTTTCAGTTTGCTTTTGAGTGTCATCGTCAGAGCATTCAAAAACTGGCCTACTGATTCCAAGAGGAAACAGAAAGATGTAAAAAAACAGCTATTAGAGACACTTTTAACTAGAATTTAAGATTATTTTTTAAATAATAATAAAAAATAGTGAGAAAAGTTCGTTGATTTATTTCAGATTTCTTTGTTTTAAATCAAATGACTTTTTTTTTCTTCCTGAAAGATACTTTAAAAACTTAAGTTTATAATTTGTTGAATTTTATACACATAATGATAATTAAAATTTTACTTCAAAATAAAATAACTATATTTTTCATATATTGCTACCTAAAAATTATTTTATCGTAGAAGCATAATACATGTAAATGTGTGACTCAAATTAAATGAAAATGGATAATGACCAAAAATTAGGCTAACAAACAAATGAAAAAATTGTCAGATTTATTTTTTAATATTCAAAAATAACAAAATGAAGTGTTGACTTAAATCTTTTCAACCTTACCTTCATAGTAGGTTAACAAATATTTCTAAACAGAATAACTTACTAACTAATCACTGAAAAAAAAAAAATCACACTTCAAGAAAAGGCTTCCCTTACCAATTTTTTTAAAGAAAAAAAAAAAAGAAAAAAATCAACATATTTTTTTACTTTATTAATAAATACAAGGAGCTAGAACAAAACATAATACACAAGCTCTAAGTTGAAATTTTAATTTTTTTTCTATGTAAAAAATATTTAATTTACCATTCCAAATTATCTCGAGCAAATTAAAAAAGTTAAATATTAGTCCTTGTATATATATGTTCGCCATCTGAAAAATCATCTGCATTAATTTCATTTTTGCTCCGGAATGCCATTTTTTTACTCTTTTTTCTATGCAAGTTCATCAACCATTGTATATACAATTGTACAAAACACGTTTGCAGTCCCACAAATAGCAAAACTCACAAACAAAAATTGGCAAACTTCCTATCACAGCAGATTATTATTGTTTTTTGTTTTGCTTCCGGTCGAATATTTGAAATAGATATTTGCAATATATAATATATATAATAATAATAATAAATATTTGCAATATATACATTGCCCAAATAACTCTATATAATCAGGGAAGTGATTAAAAAGTAACCATCCTATACATAATTGCACAAAACACGTATGCAGCATCACATTTCAACAGCCAAATTTCCAAGCAAAACTTGGCAAACTTCCAATCACAGCAAATTATGATTAATAATTTCTTTTCCTTCTTGACGAGTAAAACGTGATAAAATAAAAGGTACTGACAAATTCTGCTACAGACCGAGTTTTCTCGTGGCAATAATAAATATTTGCAATATTATACATTGCCCAAATAACTCCATATAATCAGGGAACTGATTAAAAAGTAACCATCCTATACATAATTGCACAAAACACGTATGCAGCATCACATTTCAACAGCAAAATTTCCAAACAAAACTTGGCAAACTTCCAATCACAGCAAATTATGATTAATAATTTCTTTTGCTTCTGGACGAGTAAAATGTGATAAAATAAAACGTACTGTCAAATTCTGCTATAGACCGAGTTNCAATATATACATACCCGAGTTAACTCGGGATAATAAATATTTGCAATATATACATACCCGAGTTAACTCCGGATAATAAATATTTGCAATATATACATACCCGAGTTAACTCGGGATAATCAGGGAAATGGTTAAGATACCGATATATATTTGCAATATTAAAATTAAATTGTGTTTTTGAAGATTCTAAATTAAAAACTAAAATTAGACTAAAATTATAATAAAACTAGACTAACGTCATAATAATGTAATATTAGTGGAAAATACCATGCAATACTGTAATTTCACTAACTGAAACTTTTTAATACAGCAATATTTATACAAAAGCTTTTCAAACCATAAAAATCAAAAAAAAGTTTCAAATATCTCATATTACGATAATGTTTATGGTGGTGGGTAAACATTTCTGCATCAGTATCTATTCCAAGTTTTGGTGACCCAGAAAAACTAAAGAAGAAATGTCAGAAGAAGACCATCAGGCAAATAACTCTTAGCTGCTCTTGGACATACTACAAAATTTTTGCATGTTTAAACATTTTGCATGCTTTTGGCATCTCAGAAATTGTCATTGGTGCAAACACATATCAATTCAAAAATTACCCTGACACAGGTAATTATACTGAATTTTTTCCCAAGTGTATAGCATTTTATGACAATTTTTTTTGTTAGATAACTAAATTTTTTACAAAAACATAATTGAAAATCTGGGGGAAGAACAATTTATGGCTATAAGACACTCATTCTGAGGGGAAAAAAAGAATTTCAAGGCGATTTTTCCTCAGCACGGCCCATCATCGCTCTGTAATAACTCTCAGAGAAACTATTTTTTACACTATTGATTTTTCAAATCCTCCAAAATGCAACAGTTGGTGAACTACTCTTCCCTCCAGATCTTCAACTGCCTGAATCAATCAATCAACATTTTAAAAAATGCAAGAACGCGAGACATTACGCAGATATATAGAAAAAATCTTAATGTTAGAGTAGAGATACAAAGCGTTAAAAAAAAAAAAAAAACTATAGTATTACTAAGCAAAAGCGAAAATGCATATAAGATCAAAATTCATTAATTTTAAGTTTTAATTGTTTCCGATATTATTTAAGAGCAATTCAAGTCTCACGACCTGATTAAATATATGAAAATAATGAATAGCTATAAGGAATAATAATTAATTCTTATCTTATTTAAACTTGTTTGAATATGTAGCCTTTACACTGATTAGTTGTAATCTAATTCAAACAATAACATTTTCTCTATACCTACACTGATTATCAATGCGAAACTCTAAACTTAAAAAGTAACTCTAAACTTAAATCTAAAACTTAAAAAAGTAAGGCAAAATTATCCAAACAATTAGAAAATTTAATTTCTGAGAATACTTACTTTCTTCCATTATTGGCTTTAAAAATTAAATTAAAATTTTATCTGAGTAGCAGTACAATATCTATTGAATGTTCTAAGTTTCTAGATCAAAGTATCTAAGTTTTAAACATAGATATTTATATTAATCCCTGGATGAATCTTATATTAATACCTGGATTGCAGAAGCTGAGGAAAAGCAAAGCAAATGCTACAGCGTCTTTGATTGATTGATGGATCAATATTGACTAGAAAAGATTTGGCAATCTTTGCTTACAGCTTTATTTGTCATTGACAAATGTTGACTCATTCTAATTATTTAAGAACCTTTTCGACATTTTTAACTGTTTCTGGTTTAATAATTACATAGCCATTAGTTTAATTGACACTAGTTTTAATTAAACTAATTGACATAGTTTTAAGTCCCGCAGTGGACTGATCGTTAAGACACGGTTCCCAGCAGATCACCGAAGTCAAGCATCACTGGCTACGGTCAGTGTGCGGGTGGGTGACCACTTGGATCAGTCTGCGTAGGGACCGAGGGTGTGCGGTATTGGTCCTCGTTAAACTGTGCTACCGTAAAGTGCTCGACTTCGC